ATTGCAGAGGCCCCCCCCCCGGGCCCCCGGTCCAAAACAGTCCAGTGGCACCTTTAAGACCAAGTTTTATTCAGGTACAAACTCTCCCTCCTCTCCGAGGATAGATCTGCACGTTCTCTCGCCCCCCCAATAGCTGGCAATCCAAAACAGTCCAGTGAAGCCTGAGCGGTGGGTGTTGCCTTCTGACACACTTCCAGTGATGCCAGGGGGTGTGGCATATGCTAATAACGTATGCTAATAAGTTATGCTAATGAGCTCCTGCACCTCTTTTTCTACGAAATGACCCCTGGTCTCTTGCACTGAAAACACTATAAGGGTTCACCATACATTGGCTGCAACTTGAAGGCAAAAAAAAAAAAAAAAGCTATAGGGGGTTAAAACACTGACATTTGCTTCGTTTTAAAATAAAATAACATAGCACACACATCCCTGCCAACTTGGGTTTGACAATCATACCCATCTGTGTTTCTTATGTGTTCCAAGCTCCTGCACATTTGCCCACAGAAATGTTGTGGTGGTGGTGGGACTAGAAAACACCCGAGGACCAGTGTTCCCTCTAAGCTGAGTTAATGTGAGCTAGCTCAGTTTTTTAGCCTCCAGCTCAGTTTTGTCTTAGCTCAGGAAGGAGGGCTCCACAGCAAACTAATATATGCAGTAGCCAAATTGCTCGCTCACAACTTTAATGCCAGCAGCTCACAAAGTAGAATTTTTGCTCACAAGACTCCACAACTTAGAGGGAACATTGCCGAGGACCAGAATAAATGGGCATTTAGGGGAAGCACTAAAAAAAATTGTGATATACTCCACCTTTTGGAATGGGTGAAATGTTTTTTAAGACAAGGTTTTACTCACCCAAAATGGATCATGTGATAATTTTATGTAAGAATGCATGGCATTAGAGAATAATCATTCCCATGTATACTGTAGAGGCAGTCAGCATTTCTAAGTATATATTAGTTTAAACATGACCAAGTTTGTCTATAATTAATGTGTATAATACACTATTAAAGAGTCCATTGTTTCCAGTATTCTTAAGTTTAACTCAATATCCAAACACTGGTACTGTATGAGACTGCAGTTTTTATTTTTTCCTCTGTATCTCAGATGGAAAAAACTATGGTATGTGTGCCAAGGTAGCACAGGATGCAGTAGCTTGCATATTTATTTGGAAGTATTGGCAATTTCACATGTAGAACACAAAGGTATTGGTACTTTAAAATGTACATGCCAAATAGTAAACGTATATATACTGTATCTCTAAATGATTTGTTACATATTGTTAAAGTAGTAAGATAACTTTAGGCTTGCTAAGACAGTATTCTATATATTTCAGTTTTCCTCCAAATGTGTGTTTGTGTGTCTCTTTTCCCTCCTCACCCCCATGGCCTGAATGTTCCCACAGGCTGAGCTGTGTAAATTCCACAGCCAGAAGCCTTTAAGTCAGCTTGCTAAATGGATCGGATTTGAAAGTGTGTGAGGTTATCAGGGTATCTCAGATGCTAGAGGCGGATCTCAGCAGCATTTTCAGTGGTCAGGACCTTCGGTTCCAGAGGCATTTCTTTGCTCCTTCTCGCTGCTAGCCAAAGCGGAATTATTTAAAAAGTCAGCAAAATGCAACCAAAACTTTTTACTCGGCTAAATTATGCAGCTCCCAGGATTCAGCTTTTTTTTTTTGTCCAAAAGTTAATTTCTTTTGGCACATGAAAAGTTTAAAAAGTGAGTCTCGGGGGACCTTTGAAACAGAAAGCTATAGCGCGGGGGAAACTTTTGGGGTCTGGAGTCCACCAGATCTACTGGGGCATAAGAATTGTTTTGCATCCCAATCACGATTTGGATTCAGACTAGCAGCTTCACAGGCCTGGGCTCATGGAATGTGGTTTTCCCACCTTCCCCACTCCCATGGGAACCCTAAAACCCAGGGGGGGGGGAGATCCTGAGGAGGGGGAGAAAATCACACTATGCAAACGTTAAGTCCTGGTGCCCAAGTAAATGCTAGTTAGAAACCAACCCTATGTTTGGGGGAAGAGCCCTTCAGATGTATGATGACAAGCTGCCCCCAACCTTGATGAACCTATGGGCACTTTTGGAATGCTGGGGACACCACAAAATGGCAGCCACGAGGACAGAGCCAACCAGAAAATGTCTGCTATGGGGTGGCTGGGGCCGTTCACAAAAGGCTGGAGACGTTGCAAGCCAAACACTCTCCTGAGACAAATGTGGCTGTTTCAGAATGAGTGCTCCTCAAAGGTGGCACATCTGCAGGTCTCTTCTGAAGCGCCTCCTGCTCCAGTGAGGCAGAAGAAGGCCAGGACTGGCTCTTTGCTTTGGGGAAGAAGCAAACAGACATCCCCCATTGGGGAATCACTAACTTGGCCCATTTGACAGAGCTTGTGCAAGGATCAATTGAGAAGCGGTATCTGGGAGCTGAAAACTTGCAGTAGGGAACAATGTGTTGAATTTGGGCCACGCTTCTGACGTAGCCAGTTACGTCAAATCCCATGCAACATCTGACTTGGCTCTCTGTGCAGTCTTGCAGGACTGAAGTTCCTTGGTTGTAAACATTTCGCATCCTCACTGGCAGGAAACCTGCGGTGACCCTGGGAACATAAAAGGAGACTACTCTGAAAAGGCAAGGACAGATCAATACTGGTGTCAAGGGACACAGAATTAAGCTTCAAATGCCACATGAATCACAGTGCTGTGGATTTCCTAAACATATGGTACAAGAACTGTTTTATTTCTGTCCTATGAGTTGCTGCGTAGGACATCCCAAATTACACAGCCCAAGGGAGTTAAGTCACTCAATTGCAGAGTTAGAATTTTATATCAGTACTGAAACACTTGAGATTGGTGGTGCCAAATCTGCTCTGCCCTCCCCACCTGTGGTGTTTTGTAGCCAGATTTGGAAAAAGGAAGAACGAAACCCACAAGAGGGTTTGCTTAGCAGTGCTCCCTTATTCTGGGATGCCCGAACGCACACCTCCAGCTGCGTAGAACAACATTTCACAACCCTCCCCCCAAAAAGTCTGAGAACTGAACCCCCCAGATAGAAAAAGATTCCAGGAGAAACGGAAGAAAGACAGAAAGACCAATTTCAAAACCACAACGCCGGCCTCAAAGTCTGAATAACCTGATTTTTGTCAAGTTTATTGTTTAACCTTTTTTGTAAAATGAAAGTTTCATATACATTATTTATAAAATGGCTTAAATTAAGGCATAAATCCTGTAGTGTCTAAGACAAGCGTCCGTCATTCTGCTCAAGCGACAGCTGGTTCCGTTTACCATCCACCATGTTTCCGCCCAGGAGCGAGGCTGTGCCAAAGAAAGGGCTCACTTTCCCTCTGGGCTGAGGCCTAGGAAAAACGCCTCCCTGGACAAGCCCCCCCAAGCTTGGCTCAAAGCCGAGGCAACCTGGTGGACCGGAGTTGGTAGTGTCACCAGAAAAAGTCGACAGAAGCTGGTGAACCTTTATACACAGATTACAGTGCTACAGTCTGAAAAACAAAAACAAAAGAGTACGTGGACACACAACACGAAATAATGGAGAGAGAGACGCACAAAGGCCCACAGAGGTGGCAGCCTCAGGACGACAAGTTCTAAAGAGGTCCAGGGAAACCCACGCGCCCCTCCCCGCCCTGACCTATCTCAAGGGGGAGATTCCTCACTTCCCCAGCATTGAGGGCCAAACCAGATACAAAGGCACCCACGGGTCGGACCCGTGGACACCTGCACTGTTGTAAAGCAATTTAAAAATGCCGCTAGGGCCTGATTGGGCCTGCAAGGTGGCGGACTGAGCCCCTCTCCCCCCGCTTTTTCAAGTCCCAAAACAGGCACACATACGACGGCATTAACCGTGTTGCTCTTCTAAGGGCAGTATTCGCTAGGCAGGAAAACCCTTTCCCTGCCTCCCTCCCCCCGAACGTTCACGATCAGACCCCTTTTCATAAACCGCTGAAGCACCTTGTCAAAATGTGCGTTTCAAGGTTGCGAGCTGCTGTTTGGTTTGTTTTCCCCCCTCAGGTGACTTGGGGAAAAGCCAAATCAAAATGTCCTGAATTCAAGCAGCCTTCAATGCAAGACGTTTGGTCCAGGCTTACCAAGCAACCAGGAAAAGAGGGTTAAAATTCAAAGCGACTCGCCTCTGGGTGGGACAGACACGGAAACGCGGGAAGAACCGAGGCAGCGGATATGTGACACGAAGAGCCCTTCCCCTCCCGTCACTCAAGCTCAGAGTGGCTCCCCCCAAGAAAGGCTTGGCTGAGAGAACTCGAGCGCTTGCTGAGATAACTGGGGCTCCCACGTGACAGGAGCAGACCCTTTCCCTCCGTTTTAATCCACAGAGGCGGCAAAGCCCCACTCAACTCACAACAGTAGCCACTGTCATCCCTCCCTGCCTTCCTTGCTGGCCAAAGGGGAGGGCGTTGGGCACATGAGCTCCTGGAAACAGGCTAGGCGCAGGAAACAAACCTCTCTCCTACTAAACAAGCCTCCTGCCCAGTTCAGAAAGGAAGAGGATCCCGAAAGCATCATCTGAGAAAGGACTGCTGCAAATGGGCTCTTTTTGTAGCAGGTACTCATTTGCATATTAAGCGACACACCCCTAATGTAGCCAATCTCCAAGAGCTTACAGTAGCTCCTGTAAGAAGAGCTCTGTAAGCTCTTGGAGGATTGGCTACATTAGGGAGTGTGGCCTAATATGCAAAGGAGTTCCTGCTACAAAAAGAGCCCATCCGCTTGCTAACTCAGTGGAGGGGAGGGGAGAACTGAAGCAGAACAGATCTGCCTACTAAAGGCCATGATCACAAGGGGGCCCTTCCCCGGGATATCGTACGCTCTTGACATCGCAGATACGGCTGGGCATGGAGCCCCTTCGCCTCGATCAGATTCTTTCCAGAAGCCAGCTCGTTCCCCAGTCCGTTTGTGCCTAATCCGGGGACGGACACATAGAAACATGAAACAAAACCTCCCCAGAGGAAAGGGGGGGGGAGAGAGTTATTTTGAAAGGACAGGAAAACAACTACAGGTCAGAGACGCACGACGCTTTCTTCCCACGCGGCCCTAACCTACGCTAAAGCAATATCACAGCCACGCAAGCGCAAAATACTGTCTACATTTTTTTTTCCTTAAAAAAAAGAGTATGTTATAATACTACCCCAGCATTATGAAACGGGGAAGGGGAAAACAAAGGCATCTGCTAACTGGCGTATTCTAAGCAACTTCTGAAATTCTACCCGAACCGTCTTCATTAAGCACCATATTCAAGGGGAGGGGCAGGGGGCGACGGGCAGGGGGCGGGAATTAGTGAGAGAGATTATCTGTGTCGAACTCCGAAACGGAGATTTCCTGGTGCTGGATGATCAGATTGGTGATGGGCTTCTGTGCTAGACGCCGATGCGACCAAACCAGTCCTCGGTTTTAGTCTTGAGTTAGTCTGTGATGGAGGGAGAGGAGAGAAAACAAGTGGAAGAGGCCGGGTGGGGAGGAACCGGAGATCCTAGTCAGACTGACTTTGTCCCACCGGGAGGTTCTTGCTTTCGGGAGCGCCTTCCTCCTGAGCAGTCTGTTCTTCTATACACGGGGTGGGGGCCCCCGCCTGTTCGCTGGATTCAGTCTGCTCCTCCGCTCCTGGGGAGGAGGCTGGCGGTTCCCCGCTGCATGATGGGCCGCTGTTGGGCTCTTCGGTGTGGAGGGTGGGGTTGGTCATCTGCTCGTCTGCCTCGGGCCGAGACACCAACGGGTTCGCCTCCTTCGGGGGTTTGGGGCAGCTGACAGGGGAGATCACCAAGGGAGGATGAGGTAGCTCTTTCTGCATGCAGGAGAACAAACCGCGTTAGGATGAAGGCAGCTGCAGCTGCTCCAGACACACGCTGCTTTACAAGATCCCCAGGCCCTCCCTCGTGGACATAAAACCCAAACTGACTGTGGAGCAGAAAGGTGGATTTGCAGGCTACAAAAAGAAACAGGGTGGATGGAAGGTGTATTCTCTGTGGCAGCCACAAAACCAATTGTGCTGTGCAATTCAGTAGTCAGGGGACTGCTGCCCACACCCTGCTCCTAGATGCTGACCCACCCTCTTCCCCCAGGGAAATGCCTGACCTTCCCTATTGGCAGTAGCCTCCACCGGGGTCCCCAACCTTTTTTTTAGCACGTGGATACCTTTGGGATTTTGAAACAGGCTGGTGGGGCGCATCCACAAAGTGGCTGCTGTGGGACGGGCAGCCAACCACAAAACGGCCACCACGGGAGGCAGAGCCACACACACAGAAAGACAGAGGATGCCCAAGCGCAGGGGACTAGAGGAGCAATTTTAAAAAAATACACTGGGAAAGAGGGTTGAGAGGGAATAAAACCAACACTGTGGAGGCAGCTGCCACTGCAGCACTGTTATTTTAATCTGCCCGGCCAATAGGATTGCCACTGGCCAATCAGAAGCCCCGCTGGGTCAGAGCCCCACCTGGCCCCGCCCACTCTCTAAAAACACTCAGTGGGCACTCGGAAAAATACTGGCAGGCACCGTGGCACACCCGCGGGCACCATGCTGGGGATCCCCGTTCTCCACCCTGGCAGAAGGTCTGAAGCATCTTTCACAGCAGCCAACACAGCACTGCTGTCCCCAGGTTAGAGAAAGACAGTACAGGGTATGAAGGGCAGCTGACAATCCACACACACACTCACCCTTTCAGCCCCTAAGACAACCCAGGAGAGAGCGGCAGGGGGTACAGGGCTCTGTACTTGCTCAGGCCGGGAAACGCACACCGAAGTATGGCAGCTATAGAGCGTGTTCCTAAGATGCATACCGCAGCCGCTGTTCAACCCAGGGTACTTCAAGATAGACCCTGCCTCAGTACTCTGTATTTGTGGGTCTACCCCCTACCACCATTTCAGCTATTTGTGGGGCAAGGTCACTACTTAATTCTCCCCAGTATATTTTTCATATTAAGAGCAATGATCCATTGTAACAATTTGCACGCCACAAAATGCAAAACTGAGGGGAGGGGAGAGGGGAGAGCATCCCCCCAGGATTGAGAAAGGTGAGCCCACAGCCGGGGGTGGGGGGGTGGGGGTGCTGCTGAGGAAAAAGGCAGAACAGAAGTTTCCTTTTTTTTAAATAAACAACAATGCTAACAATAGTATTACTCAACTGTAATTCTAGTTACGGGGTTTCTAACATTAGCATTTCTCGGAGACACTCATAGCAAACTGGTATTCACCGCAAAGCCGCTGCCCGTCCAGAACATGCCCAGCTCCTTGCGCCACAGGGCCACGACGAAGCTGGTGAGGAGCGTGCATGGCACGAGGTAGAGGAGCGCCGGCTGGCCTTTCTGCATCAGCGCCAGGGCCACGAAGGTCACCAGGAGGCCAATGCCGTAGGCTGCCACAGGAAAAAGGGAGACACGGTGAGCGGAAGCAGCTCGGGGGCCTTCGCTAGACTCTCTGTGTGTGTGTGTCTGCCTACCACCCAACCCTGCCCGTACACAAGGCTTCTTTTGGATGGCTGGCGGGGGACACCTTTGCCCACAGGGTGCTTCCTCTTCTCAGATTTCCGAACATTAGCAGGAGTGAGCTAGAGCAGAAGCTGCCGGGTGCAAAACTGCATCAGAGAAGCTGCTATAGTATGGCACGCGAAAGAACAACCCCGTCTTCGGATGCGGAAGTGGAGTGGCTGCCTGCAAACAGCCTTGAACACACAGTGGCTGCATTTTGCGGGGTTAATTCCCTGCCTGATATCGAAGTGGAGGAAGGGGAAGTGCACAGAGAGATGCCCCTTCTTGCCCTGCCTATCACGTTTCTATCTCATTCTTCTGCCAAACAACTCCAAGGCCAGCGTACAGTTTTCTCTTGCAGTAACCCGGTGAGGTAAGGCTGGGTCCCGAGGTCACCCGGTGCGCTTCATGGCTGAGGGAGGATTCGAACCGGATTGCTTTGAGTCCGAGTCTAATGCTCCAACCACTTCACCACACCCTGCAAGAGAGGCTTCTGAAGATTACTAATGGGGAAGGCAACAGAGGAGGGACGCAGCTCTGCATTACCCTCAGCTGGAAGACAGCAGAGTGGGAAATCCAGCCACAGAAAAAGAAGAAGGAGGGTAGGTTTTTATACCCTATTTTTCTCTACCTTAAAGAGTCTTGAAGCAGCTTAGAGTCACCTTCCTTTCCTCACAATAGGCACCTGAGAGAGTTCTGAGAGAACTGTGACTGGCCCAAGGTCATCCAGCAGCCTTCATTTGCAGGAGTGGGGAATCAGACCCGGTTCTCCGGATAAGAGTCTGCCACTCTTAACCACTACACCATGCCGACTCTCATGGAGTAGCGAAAACACAGTGTGCATTCTTGAGCAATCTGGGAGTTTCGTCATTGTGCTACTATGATTGAGGTTTATAAGATTATGCATGGGAAAGAGCAGGTAGAAAAAGAGGTACTTTTCTCTCTCACACAATACAAGAACTCGTGGGCACTCCATGAAATTGCTGAGCGGTCGGGTTAGAACAGATAAAAGAAAGTACTTCTTCACCCAAAGAGTGATTAACACTTGGAATTCACTGCCACAGGAAGTGGTGGCGGCTACAAGCATGGACGGCTTCAAAAGGGAATTAGATAAGCATATGGAGCAGAGGTCCATCAGTGGCTATTAGCCACAAGGTATAGATAGGGACTCTGGGGCAAGTGATGCTCTGTCATCTTGGTGCTTGGGGGGGGGGTCAACAGTGGGAGGGCTTCTAATGTCCTGGCCCCACTGGTGGACCTCCTGATGGCACTGGTATTTCTGGCCACTGTGTGATACAGAGTGTTGGACTGGATGGGCCTTTGGCCCGATCCAACATTGGCATCTCTTATGTTCTTACTGTTTCATCTGCTTTGTTTTAATTATCAACTGCAGCTTTCATTGGCAGTGCTTTCAGTGGTGCCCTCCTATGACCGCCAAGGGCTTTGAGAACTGTTACAGCTGAAAGGGTTTACTAATGAACAGCCCACCTTATGTCCAAGATGATCACAGAGAGCAATGGAGAAGGTTAAATGTGAAAGGATTATAACAAATCCAAATCCAGCTGAGCAGCTCAGAACATTCCT